CTCACAGCAACCTCCAACTCCTGGGCTCAAGCGAGTCTCTTGCCTCAGCCTCCCAAGTAGCTGGGACCACAGGCACCTGCCACAACGCCTGGCTATTTTTTGGTTGCAGCCATCATTGTTGTTTGGCGGGCCCGGGCTCGGGATTCAAACCCACCACCTTAGGTGTATGTGGCTGGTGCCTATAATTCCAGCTACTCACGATGCTGAGGCAGGAGAACACCTAAGCCCAAGAGTCTGAGGTTGCTGTGAGCTGTGATGTCTGGGCACTCTACCCAGGGTAACATAGTGAGACTCTGTCTCAAAAAAAAAAAGTAAACAAGCATAACTGCCATTCATATTAAAATTAGAATCCTGCCAACACTCTAGGAGTTGCCATGGGCCCATTCCCTGCCTCCATCTCCCCAAAAGACAACATCTACCCTGACTTTTCTGTATCCTTTTGCTTGCATCCCTAAACAGTCTAGTTTAGTTTTATACCACTTATTTTGTTCAATGCATTTAATGATAATATTTACTTTAATGTAGAAATTACCATTATATGAATAATTTTTATCTCTTCTACAGCTGATGTCACAGCTCACAGCAACCTTGAACTCTTGGGCTTAAGCAATTCTCTTGCCTTAGCCTCCCAAGTAGCTGGGAATCCAGGTGCCTGCCACAATGCCTGGCTATTTTTTTGTTGTAGTTGTCATTGTTGTTTTTAGCAGGCCCAGGCTGGGTTCAAACCCGTCAGCCTGGTGAATGTGGCCCTAACCACTGTGTACCGGCACCAAGCCCTCTATGTAAATTTTAGAATTGGCTTAGCACAGTACCCAGTAAAAACCTAATAGGGTTTTTATTGAGATTGCATTGACTTATATAGGTCAGTTTGGGGGTCATTTATATTTTTCTGAAGTTGAGTCTTTTAATCTATGAACATGGTACAAATACCCAGTAGTAAGTTTTCTTTATTCTCTCTCAATAATCTTTTATATTTTCTGTATAGAATTCCTGTACATATTTTGTTAGATTCATTACAAAGTCCTTGGTATTTTCGAGGCTATTATAAAATGTTTCCTTTTACTGGGCGGTGCTTGTGGCTCAAGGAGTAGGGTGCTGGAGATGGAGCACCCTACTTTCTTTTATTAAGAAAACAAACAGAAAAAAAATACAAGAATCAACTCATCTCTAATTTAACTTAAAGAAAACTGTTAGAGAACAAGTATATACACATTGGCCATATCATAAAATTGGTAACATTACCAATTATTGATAATTTTTAAGGTGAAACTGAGAGGGAACAGCTATGAACCTATTTTTATTATTACTATTTTCCTTGCTGTGCCTTTAAATAGTAGTGGTAGTGGCAAAAAAATAAAAATAAAATAAAAGAGCTGGGGAAGAAGGAAGACACGGAGGAGAGGGGGGAGGAGGCAAGAGCTGCAGGAAGCTCCAAGGTCATAAATCGAATCAGGTATACAGCTACAGTCCAGGTGGCAGCAACCAATCAAAAGTTCACACACCATCATTCCAGCTAAGACCCTAACCACGGAAAGGCAGTTAGCCTATAGGAACCCCAAGACCTCCCTAGTGATCAATGAGTGACCAGACACTAGCTTCTTCTTCAGCTATCTTCTTCAGCATTTTGTTGCCACCCATAGTACCTTGCAAAAAAGTGTATAAAAGTTTCCCTGGCCTTTGTTAGGGGCCACTCCCCGCTGTTCTGCTTTTCTCTTGGGAGTGACCCGAGCATATGCTTGAATAAACTTCTTGCTTCTTCCATGTGTGAGACTGGACTCTCAGTGGTAATAATTTTGGCCCTAACAAAACAACTTTCTGGTAAAAAGCGATATGAAGATTTTTTTTGAAAATAATTGTTGGATATCTTTTCATTAATTATAGTAAGTATTTTTATGCTTTCATCTTTCTTAGTGCTTTATTTCTTTAAACTTTTCATATTCATTTTTAAAAAGTGTAAATATTCCTATCATTTTCACATGTTAGGGTCTTTTGTCAGTCTTTTATATTCCCAATTATGATCATCTGTGCCTTCCCCTCACTGGGTCTATTGACCTCTGTCTGCTGACCTCTGTCTGCCTCCTCTGACGGGGATCAGGAAGAGACCAGAGGTGGGGTGGAGACAAGACGGAGCGAATGGAAAATGGGAAATCCAAGTGCCTGAGCTCTTTAACACTCCAGCGATTCCAAGCAGTGAAGGTTTGTGCTCTGGGGCAGACAGAGCTCGGTTCTGCTATGTTTCCTCAGCATAGCAGCTGCTGTTTCTCATCTGCAACATGTGGAATCAGGTAGCCACCATTGCCACCATCACAACAACTAACCTTTGAGAATGTCTACTGTTTATTTGTCAGGTTCTTCCTATGTCCTTTCTCATTCAATACTCATAACCAATAAGAAAAATATTCTTATCATCTCCATGTTACGGATAAGGAAATGAAGACTCAGTGAGGTTAAGGAGTGTGCTCCAATACATGTCTCCACTAATGTCCACCTGAAAGGATGCAATTATGTACGTGGATGTCCCCTCCTCATCGCTCCTCTACAGATGACATTCTACAGATGACAGGTAGACACTAATGTAAGTGTAAAGCTCAAACTTCCAAAGAGGAGTTGCAATGATTTAGCTTCATAGGATACAGCAAAGAACAGACTTGCAGGGAGTTAGGGGGCCTAGGTTCTTAACAGTGAACTTGCTCTAAGTGGCCCAGAAACAAGACTTGCTTTGTCTTGGTTTCCACTTCTTTCCTGTTAAAATAAAAGGCCAGAGGAGAGGATTTCCCAGATTCTTTCAGATGCCAACCTTATAAGGTTGTATGATTCTTATGTTCTTGTTTTGTGCCTTTGGATTCATGAAGGGATGTTAGATTGAATAAAGTTACCAGGGATGAGCTCCACTGGTATTGAGGGAATGAGAAAATGCAGGTTTAGCCCACCGTGAAAGGGAGAGAATTTAGACTGGAATTACATCTCTACTTCTTTCTGCATATGGTACGCATCTTTCAAAACTCTTAGCTGGGAGGCCTTCCAGTACCAGCTT